GTTCAAGGCCAGCCTTGGCTACACAGCCAGACTTTGTCACAACTGTCAATGTAAGTAAAGAGCTTTGTAAATGTGTGGTAACCGGTCTAGGCACCCTGAGCCTTAAGGAGTGTTCTAATTAAACTGATCAAATAAAATCTGCATGTGTTTAAAATATCAGAGGAAACAATGCACCAAGCATTCTTAGATTACTGAGAATTTGATATGCCAAGCCTTTAAGCAGAATCCTATATTCCTCTTTAAATATGGTAATAGCTTTGATCTGGAGATAAGATGCCTTCTCTAAAAGCCTTATTTAGTGTGCTCAGTTTTTGACATATGACTCTCCAGAGGCATTCATACACAAGGGAATACAATAGTTCCAGGGCTGGTAAATGTCAGGTCCAAATGAAACTCATACCTTCACTTTTCCTCTAGGATCTCACTAATGATTTTCAAGCATTAACCCGGGAACCCTGGCACTGCAAGACGGGAGTCCAGGCTGCAAGCTGACACAGAATCACATTTCCAAGGGTTGGTGATGGGGTTCATTTAAATTTATCCCACTTCCTACCAAAATTCTGGGGTGTGTTCATGCATAGTTCAGAGTAGTCCTTTCCACCCTTCCTAGAGATGGTCTATCTCAATTCTTTCCTCCTAAATCTATTATTGATTAGTCCCTCCAAACTACACATTTTAACAAGTGAGCATTTACCTCTTAAAATTTACATAACATATCACATTTCATACCGCACTCAGTTTGCTTGGGAAAGGATGTCAAATACTCCCAACTTCTCAGTTATAAACAGGGTCAAGTTCACCACAGGAGAAAGCTAGGTCCTAGCAACACGTGCTCTCTAGCGCCACCTCCTGTTAACCAGGGACTAGAGCCAGAGCAATCCTGTGAGTCAGCTAACACTGAACAAGTCTAGTAAAACTAGCAGAGACAACCTGTTACGGAGTGGGAAGACCCTCATTAAAACAAACAAACAAACAAAATTCTCCTCTACCCTCGGCTTCAGGTACAAGCAAGGAAATGAGCAGACAAACGCAAAAGAAACCACACAGAGTGGTTGCCTTCTGACCAATACCTTTGAATGCGAAGATACCCTAAGTTATGAATGTAATTTCCATAACAGACATCCATATTTCCTTCCACTTCCGACTGGGAGAGGCGCTCTCCTTAACCTTCAGCTGAAGCAAATAGAAGGTCATGGAAACTAAGCTAGGGTCCCTGAGGGTTTTAGAACAATATTTATTACTATTTTTCAAAAAGACTCCCTTCTCCGTTTTTGGTTTTGGTCTGTTTGTTTATTTATTTGTTTTTTTTTTTTGGTGGAATTCATTGACATGACTGAACCTAGGGCCTGCCAGAAACACTGGGAAGCCCATTCCTTACCCATCCCAGAACAAATCACTAAGTGTCCCCATGCCCTTATATGGCTAAGGACAGACTTCCTATAAGCCTGACAGCTCCATGTATGCATTGCTTATGGGTTTTGGCTTTGAGTCACATTGGGACTTTTCATTTCCTCTTTGAGGGCTGGCACTGACTTTGGCTTGCTCTTATAAGAAAATGTCTACAACTGAAAATTGAAAATGTGCAAGATTCCTTCTTTAAGTACACAAACACTCTAAGTCTGGCCACTTTGCTGTAGTCCTGCCAGGTCCTCTCTCTCTCTCTCTCTCTCTCTCTCTCTCTCTCTCTCTCTCTCTCTCTCTCTGTCTGCTACCTGTGTGTGTGTGGGGGGGTGGTAAACAGAAAACATAAGAGAAGGACTGTAATACATGCACAGTCAAATGTCCCACAAGACTCAACCAGAAGGCCTGTATACAGGATGCCCCATTTTAGCCACACATGCCTTGTGTGGCCGCCTTAGTGAATTCCTCCTCTACTTGGGGGGTCTGAGTCAAAATGTTCTCTAAGTCATTCACTAACTAAACCCCTACTTACAAGTTCAAATAAGCATCTTTATCCTGCATACAATTTCAAGAACTTTTTTTCCTCCTTCCCATTTCTGACCTGCTGTCAGTCAAAAAGACTGGGATAGGGTAGAGTTGGATGAAGTTGTAAGAAGCCTCTATTTCCACTTTACCGCCCAGGTGTACACAAACATTTGCTGAGTCGTTTGTAATAGTGTAAGAATTCAGGTGCCATGTCATGAACTGTGGCAGAAGTGTCAGTCTTTCCTTCTGGATTTCCTGGCACTTAATGATCTGTATCATAATAAAAACATACTTTCCAGGCTATGAATGTCTTGGATGTTCTCTGCAGACACCACCCTCCTCCCCCCTGCCTCATTCCCCTCTTCTCTGTATGATTCTCATAATATGTCTTTTGTTTCCACCCTTTCCAGTGTTTTGACCATAAGGGTTCAAGTTACATCCAAATGAACAGTACATTTCTTCTGAGATTTTTATATGGGCTATGCATTTCAATACGCTAGCTTTTCCTAGTTAATGTTAAAATCTCATTCAGAACTAATTGTGGATTTATATTGAGACTCTGAGGTGTGAATTTTATGGCAAAACCACATTATGATGCTGCTATTTTTCTTAACAGCAGTGCAAAATGCTGATCTACTCTTAAAGAAGGACAAGGAGGGGGTGGTGAAGAGAAGGGAGGGAGGGAGGGGAGGGGGAGAGAAGGAGAGGAAGGAAGGAAAGAGTGATGAACACAGGGAGTTTTGCGACCATTTCAACATGCTTAACCCTCACTAAGGGCTATGAAACTAAGACTGCCTATCTTTGTTTTATAAGCCTCAGCGTGGAGTATGGCTCCTCCTCCTGAATTTCCTGAGATTTGTGAATGGCAGGTCTAAGAACACAACCCAATTCACTCAATTATAAAAAGCCCAGCCACTTACCCCAAGGCCCAGCCTGCTCCCTGTGTGCAGAGAGCCTTTGGTGGCTCTCAGATGGTCCTGTGGTTTCAGAGACTGCTCCAAGTCCTCTCCTGCCCCACGCCCTGTCACATCCCAAGCTAGAGAGCTCACCTTCCCACATCCCATGCCTTCCTAACCCATCCCACCATTCTGACCATTGGCAGTAGATATAATGATCGGGAGGTTAGCACTTGAAAGGGTTCTCTGTGGCTTCCCACATATTTGGGATTCTTTTTTTTTTTTTTTAAATCATCAATGAGGAAAGCAAAAACCAGGGGGCAAGTTGCCTTTAATTCGCATGTGGCTATTCACATCACTTGGAATGTTCTTTCTTTAAATAGGAGCTCTCAGGCGTCTTCCCTTTGGGGAAAGTTTGGAAAGAACATTAAATGACAATGATGAAAATCCTTCCTGCACTTCAGAGGCCACTCACACTGTTCAACTGTTGACATGCAACTGCACACGTGGCTGCCTTAGCAAGGTAACTGTGTGCAGGTGGTGCGGGTCATTGCCAAGGTTGAAGGTTATCCCCCTCCTCCCCAATCCCTGTGCCATTTGTCCATGGGTGAATTGAAATAAAATAAATAAATAAATCTGGCCAATTGAAATTGGCTGTTGTCTGGTTTATAAATCTATAAAGTGTTGTTTCTGAAGTTAGTTAGTCCTTGAAGATGTGTACTGACCTTAAACTTATATTCAGAAACATCAACAGAGAGAAAGCCATTCTCAGGTATGATGTGGCATGGAACAGACTATGGCCCCAGAATCTCCCTACAGAAAATGGGAATTATCGAAGCTATTCACAAAAACCACCAATAAATGACTGCAGTTTATAAAATGAGTCCTTACTGATGCTAAGTAGCAATGTGAAGAAATGGAGACAAGCTTAGGTTCATTGTTTGAATCAACAGACAAATAGGGAATAACAGTATTCTCTACTTGACCTCTCTTCCCTGGGCTGCAAGCTACTTGATTAATAAGAAGCCTATCACTAGTCATCGATACTTGAGGGATAAACCAGAAATATATTAGGCTTATTGATAGGTTAGAACTAGACTCAACATGGTTAGATTATGTAGTTTAGCATAAATAAAATCCAAGTTTGGATCCCAGTAAGCAGTGTTTAAAATCTCCCAACAGAGCTCCCAGTTTCCCTCCTCCTGCTTCTCTTTTCTCCCATCCTGATACCTACCTACCAATACATAGTCACTTGCTCTGAAATCATAGACCTCCTTTTCTAGATATTCGATGCCCAGTCATTCCCCTTCCTTCCCTGAACCTCCAAAATCTATACAGAGGGCTGGAAATCTCCCCCAGGGACCTCAGCTCCCTGGCTTTGTTTTCTCTCTCTGTGTGTCTCTCTCTGTGTCTCTCTCTCTGTCTGTCTCTGTCTGTCTCTGTCTCTCTCTCTCTCTCTCTCTCTCTCTCTCTCTCTCTCTCTCTCTCTCTCTCTCCCCCTGCCTGCCAGTCCCCAAAACCGTTATCTTGAGTGATCAAAGATCAAATGCCTGTATTTCAGATATAGAATTATAGAATTTAGAGTTTTGCACACGGGCATCTTGAAAACCGACATGTGGGGGGATTTATTTTCAAATGGCTATAAGCACCCTTCTGCTCTCAGTGGAACTCCAAGAGTCTAGAGCCTCTTTAGAAAACTGCAAAAATAATGAAAAGGAAATATTTGTGGATTTTTTAGGAGCCCATGTAGTTTGCCTCTTCAGCTGACTTCTGAGTTTTTATGTCAAAAAGCGATTTTTAAAAAGGAAAAGATGTGAGAAATAATCATTGCCCGTGTACTTCTAAATGATATTATCAGGACGGACGCAAAAGGACGGGGGCGGGGGATTCTATTTGGTGTTGTGCTGAAAACACAGCGCCTTTTTTTTTTTTTTTTTTTTTTTTTCTGGTGAGCTGAAGTGAGCCAACTTTTTCAGACGGAGGAATGCAGAGTGTCAAGGGGTCAGGATCAATCCGGTGTGAGTTGATGAGGCAGGAAGGTGGGGAGGAATGCGAGGAATGTCCCTGTTTGTGTAGGACTCCATTCAGTTCTTTGGCGAGCCGGCCGCCAGGAAAGTATAAAAGCCTGAGCCGCCCGCCCAGCCTCACACAACTCTTCCCTCCAAGAAGAGACAGCCAGAGCTACTCCAGCTCCAGCGACCCCAGGAGACCGACCTCCTCCAGACGGCAGCCGCCCCAGCCTACAGCCCCAGACGCCACCGCCTGGAGCGTCCTGACACCAACCTCCGCCCAGAGTCCGTGTCCAGGCTCCGGCCGCGCCCCTCGTCGCCTTTGCGCCCCGCTGCGATCCGTTGCTGTGCGTCCTCCCATCGCGCCCCGACCATGATCGCCTCCGTCGCGGGTCCCCTCAGCCTCTCTTTGGTGCTCCTCCTCGCCCTCTGCAACCGGGTAAGCTTGTGGAATGACAGAAGGAACGGAGGGAGGGCAGAGAGAGCTGTGATCGCAGACTGACCGCCCTCCTCTTCCTCTCCACAGCCCGCCACTGGCCAGGACTGCAGCGCGCAATGCCAGTGCACCGAGCCGGCGCCACGCTGCCCGGCCGGTGTGAGCCTGGTGCTGGACGGATGTGGTTGCTGCCGCGTCTGCGCCAAGCAGCTGGGAGAACTCTGCACGGAGCGTGACCCCTGCGACCCACACAAGGGCCTCTACTGCGACTTTGGCTCCCCGGCCAACCGCAAGATCGGCGTGTGCACCGGTAAGACCCGCAGCCACCAATCCCAGCGCCCTAGCCAGAGAGAGCCCCTTTTTGGTGTTTGACCACAGGTTTCCCTCTAGGAAAAGGGACTTGCTCAACTAACTCCTTTTCTGCATCCGCTTTCCACCTGCCCTTTGCAGTCCCGATCCTCTCTTACTACTTTGACATGCACAGTATCACAGCTGTTCTGATCCGTAGGACCCTCTGTCTGACATCTACATCTTTTTCTTGCTCTCCTGCAGCCAAAGATGGTGCACCCTGTGTCTTCGGTGGATCTGTGTACCGCAGCGGTGAGTCCTTCCAAAGCAGCTGCAAATACCAATGCACTTGCCTCGACGGAGCTGTGGGCTGCGTGCCACTGTGCAGCATGGACGTCCGCCTGCCCAGCCCTGATTGCCCCTTCCCGAAAAGGGTTAAGCTGCCCGGGAAATGCTGTGAGGAGTGGGTGTGTGATGAGCCCAAGGATCGCACTGTGGTTGGCCCCGCTCTGGCTGGTGAGTTCTCTCCCTCTAAATTACTGTTACTCATTCTCCCCCATCTCAGGGCGCAGGCCCATGCACACCAAGCACAGCGGAAAATGTCCTATCTGGGTGTTTTACCTTGTGTTTGTGTGTTCTGCTCTCACAGCCTACCGACTGGAAGACACATTTGGCCCAGACCCAACTATGATGAGAGCCAACTGCCTGGTCCAGACCACAGAGTGGAGCGCCTGTTCCAAGACCTGCGGGATGGGCATCTCCACCCGGGTTACCAACGACAATGCCTTCTGCAGACTGGAGAAGCAGAGTCGCCTCTGCATGGTCAGGCCCTGTGAAGCTGACCTGGAAGAGAACATTAAGGTACATGCTCTGCCCCTAGTCACTTGTTTTCACAGAATGACAGTAAAGAGACACAGTTAGGTGTTTCACCTCCCTTGTTATTATAGGCCTGTTATCTCCAAAAATATCTAACCATGGAGCTGGCTGGCTGGAATGAGAGATTGTGTAATAGCAGCCACTAGTTTTCCACTACAAAATTCTCCACAGTGTTAGTTAATTCAAGACACTCCAAAAGAGGCTATGGCTATTTTTGGAAAACTGGCAAATGAAACTCCCAGTCTCTCCACTCAGAGTATAAACACAAGTCGGATGACATAGGGCTAGACTACACAGAGGGGGTGGAGGAAGGCCACTCCCCTTGGAGTAATTGCTGTTTCTCTTCTTGTCTTCCTTAGAAGGGCAAGAAGTGCATCCGTACCCCTAAAATCTCCAAGCCTGTCAAGTTCGAGCTTTCTGGCTGCACCAGTGTGAAGACCTACCGCGCTAAGTTCTGTGGAGTGTGCACAGATGGCCGATGCTGCACACCCCACAGAACCACCACCCTGCCGGTGGAGTTCAAGTGTCCCGATGGCGACATCATGAAAAAGAACATGATGTTCATCAAGACCTGTGCCTGCCATTACAACTGTCCTGGGGACAATGACATCTTTGAGTCCCTGTACTACAGGAAGATGTACGGAGACATGGCGTAAAGCCAGGGAGTAAGGGACATGAACTTGTTAGACTATAACTTGAACTGAGTTACATCTCATTTTTCTGTAAAAACCATTACAGTAGCACATTAATTTAAATCTGTGTTTCTAACTGCTGGGGGAGCAAAGCTCCCACCAAAGTGAGAGCGTTAAGACATTGTCATACAAATAGTCTGCCAATCTCAGACACTGGTTAAAGACAGTTTAGACTTGACAGTTGGACTTCATTAGCACACAGCGCCAGAATGTATGCCTGGGTGTGTCTCCGAGCAGTGGCAATGCCAGGAGCAAAGGCTGGTACTATCCGAGGCCATCTTCAAAGCAGCAATATGCCTGCTGTTTGCAGTGTAATTGGAGAGGAAAACTATATAGTATGCATGCAGACAGTCCTGCTCTAGTAACAACTGAGCTGTGCATCCTCCTAGACGAGGCTGAGTGGCTGAGTCCAGCTGTTCTTGAACTGAGAATAGCGGATTCAGCTCTGACATTCTGATTCGAATGACAGTGGTCAGGAGTCGGAATCCTGTCTATTAGACTGGACAGCTTGTGGCAAGTGAATTGCCTGTAACAAGCCAGATTTTTATTGATATTGTAAATATTGTGGATATATATATTATATATATTTGTACAGTTATCTAAGTTAATTTAAAATTGTTTGTGCCTATTGTTTTTGTTTTAATGCTTTGGGTATTTTAAAGTGATAGCCTCAAATTCTGAACACCATAGGTAGGACATAAAGCTTGTCTCTCTGTGATTCAAAACAAAAAAAAATATACTGAAGTGGAGATTATAGTCTATCAGAACAGAAAGTATATTAATGGTAAAGCAAAGTCTTGGAGGTCAGATTTCTGTCAGGAAATGTGGCAACCTCACTGTCAGTGAACAAATGGCCTTTATTGAGAAGTGGCTGGCTCGGGATAGCTGGTCAGATTTCCATGTGGAAGTGTTTGCTTCATCTTTGACTATGACTGTTTTTTGGGCAGTTTATTTGTTGAGAGTGTGACCAAAAGTTACATGTTTGCACCTTTCTAGTTGAAAATAAAGTATATATTTTTTATATGAAGGGCTTGACTGTTCATTCTTATAAACATTCCTTGAGTCTTCCTGAGTGTAAGTGGGAAGGTTCTTATTTATCTGAAGGTAATTCACTTAGGAGTTTACACATACCTTTGGGATGTATGAATAATGTGAATCACTAGGAGTTTGCATTAGCATCCTCTGCACTAAACCAAGTGTCATATAATTACAGATAGGCATATCATGTTGCATGGGCAGGCATTTGTAGTTGCCTACACGGTGCTTAAGGAGCATTTAAATTCAGTTCTCTGTAGCTGACTCCAGCCTCCACTAACCCACTTTTACACCGGTACCTCTGGACTTTGGAGTTAATTTCTAATCGTCCACATCACAAATTAGTCTATGCCTTGCATGAGTGAAATAGTTAAATCTTAGCTTCTGTGTTTGACAACAGTTGTTTCCAAACTTGAAAAATCTCACTATTAAATGCAAAGTATAGAATAATATACCATATTAAAATGAAATGAAATAGGACATTTCACTGTGCACAATTCTGCTCTCCTATTGCATGACAACTCATGACTAATGTAAAAGATAGGATAAGACAGTTTTCCATCCATTAGCATTAATAGAAATGGTTTTTATTTTAAAACAATTCCATACTATTGTCCCACATGTTTGCCTGTATCAGAAATTATAATTAATATATCCTAATTACCAAAGTGGTTAATAGGTGACAAATTAAATTCTTCTAGAACCCTGATGTAGAGATGATATTGAACATACCTGGCTTCTACTGAACAGTGAAGCAAAGAGAACTACAAACACTCTAAAGGCAACTAAAAAACCATTTTCTTTTCTGGGATGAAAATAGCTGCGGACTCCAATGAGGAAACAAACAGTGCAAACAGACTACCCTGTCCTGGGGTAATTAGCAATCTTGTAGTCACTCTGAAAAACAAAAATACACTTGAAAGTAAAGACATCCTACAAATAGTGCCCACACCACAAACCAAACAGAACTTCCCATTGGGAAAGTATTTCAGGTCACAACACTGGGCTTTAGCGTGCATACTCATAGGTATATGGCAATGCTTGCATGCTTGCAGCAGTAGCCATTACCCTAAATAAACACACCCAAGTGTACATAAGCAGTGCATTGCTGGCTCCCATTTCCTTCCCATCAACTGATGCCCAGGTATAAAGACGAAGAGTCACGGTAAGACAGCCTTGTTCCTGAAGGAAGTCAGAGAACTCTGGAAAAAAATAGAAGCGGTAGTGGAAGAGAGGATTTGAGATTTTTCCAAATCTGCACACAGAAACAGTAAATAAATTGCATAACCAAACTCCCATGAGCAGTATGTAATAAAATTAGAAGACAAGACACCCCTTGACCCCAAGATAGGAATGAAGACAAATCACCAACCACCCAATGGCCTGAGTTGTGTCAGCAGGCGTGGGAAAAATAAAAAGAAGAAGAGGACATGTAATGTTTTGAGGAACCAGCAAGTGCTGGCTAGAACCACAGCCGGTTTGAGAACGGTGCTGACATGGGTAGGGGTGTTGGGTCACTTCACTACAACTTACGTTCAGGGCTGCTTTCCAAGACAAAACACCCACACTTAAAAATGGAATCAAAACTGAGCCAGTCAGAACAACCAAAAGAGAGAGGACTGAGATAAAAATAGGAAGCTGGGCCAGGTGGCAGAGGCCCATGACCTCAGCTACTTGGGAGACTGTCTTAAGTACTTGTTTTGCTACTGTAACAAAACATCTGGCAAGAGCAACTTAAGGAAGGAAGAAGGGTTTATTCAGGCTAACAGTTGACTGACACTGTTATTGGAGGACATTCCATCACACCTTGACTCCCCAGTTTGCATTTGCATTAATTAAATCAAATTAACCTTGGGCCAGGAGGCTGGGTTAGCAACTAGTTGACAGCAAGTAATCATGGAGCACCAGAGGGCATCTGGGAGAGACAGAGAGACACAGGAAGTAGCAGGGCAGGGGTTGGCTTTTCTGTTTCAGTGAAACAGCAGCAGGGGTTCCATGGACACCAGCAAGGAGAGAGAGTTAGCTAGTTGCTACTCAGTCTCTCTGAGCTGGAAGGCTTTCACCCCAGCCTCTGAATCTCAAGTCTAATTAGAGCCACAGAGATTTAGTTAAAGCTTCCTTTACTGGCAGCAACAGGGCCAGTGTCTGAGGGAACAGAATTCTTGACCCGCTGAGGCCTGGCTGCTAGAGATACAGGCTGGTAACTGTGGCATCGCAACTGATGGCAGACGCAGCAGTAGATTAAGGTGCAGCCACTGTGCAGAAGTTAAACCAATTTAGCAGTCCATCATGGAGGAGAAGTAGAGGTGGCGAGAGCTTTAGGTAGCTGTGTGCTCAGTCAGTGAGCAGAAAGTCGAAAACTAGAGTGTTCAGCTAGCACTCTTGTTTTTATTCACTCTAGGACCAGACCACATCCCATGCAATGGGATAGCCCCACAACTGAGGTGGGTCTTCTCATCTCAATTAACCCCATCTAAAAACCTTCTCTCAAGCATCCCCAGAGTCTTCTTGTCCTACTTCACTTTCTACTGCTGCAATAAAAACACTGACCCCAAATGACTTTGGGAGGAAAGGGTTTATTTCAGATTACAGTATCTGGCCCATCATCAAGGGAAGCCAAGTCAGGAGTTCAAAGCAGACTCCTGAAGATAGAAACTTAAGGAGAAACTGTGGCAGAACATTGTTTATTTGGCTTCCATCCCTGGGCTTGCATATTTACCATTCCTATACAGCCCAGACCTACTGCTCACAGACGGTATCACCCACAGTGACAAAGCCCTCCTATATCAACTAGCCACGGAGAAATTCCCCCTACCAATATGTTCACAGGCCAATCCAATGGAGGACATTTTTCAATTGACTCCCCCTTTCCCTGGTATGCCAAGCTGACAACTGAAACTAACCATGGCATTTGCCTTGATGGTTCTTGATTCTGTCAAGCTGAAAATATTAGCCACCATGACTCCACCTTTGTCTATTAGACATGCAAACATATCACATATAAGTCACAATATTCAATTCTTCATCTCCATAGGTTCTTGGTCCTGTTGGCATTTAACACTAACAATCACAATGACCTGGGAACCCCAAAAGATGATTTATCTGTCTAGGAAACAATATTACACTTGTCTCAAATTCAGTTGCTTTGATTCAGCAATCCACAACAGTAAACAAGAAAGATACCAGAGCCTTAGAGGATGGTGTCTATGTTTCTGAAAAAAAAGAGAGATAAGGCACATAAGTAAGTAGTAAGTAAGTAACTGAGTTATCAACTACAGAAGAAGATCCTGGATTCCACGAATGAATTGGGATGTCTCTGAATACAATGACAGACCTCTATTGAAAAAAGAAATGAAAGCATTGTATAAAAACATCTGCAGTCAAACCATTAAAAACATATGAGAACTCAAAGGCATACGGATCCCATGAACTGCTCTAAGAAACTTATAGTGAGCCAGTTCCAAAAACAAATGTTTGAGATGCTAACGTAAGGACTTATTAATCAGAATGAATAAGTCATATCATTTTTAGAATTACGCTTAATGTGTAGTCATTTCACAAAAATCACAAAAACAGCTTTGGTTTTGTTTACTTCTTGTGTATCGTGGATTTATCTCATACCCATTCATCACTCATTTCCTTCTCCTTTCTTTTCTACATGAATTTTACTTCTACATGAATTATAAACACCCCCTTCTCTTTCACACTCGAGCGTGTGTGTGTGTGTGTGTGTGTGTGTGTGTGTGTGTGTAAATCCACATTCTGTGTTACCTACCTTTATGAATTTGTCTTATTTCGATGGTCTCCAGTTCTGTTTATTTTCCTATAAATGACATGATTTCACTCTGTTGTAGAGCTGAATAAAACTCTATTGTGTATGTATCCCACATTTTCCCCTGTAAGGGCCATCTAGAGTGATGCCATAAGTTAGCTATTGTGAATTATGCTGCAGTTAATGAATGTGCGGGCATTTTTACAGTCTGTAGACTTGGATTCCTTCAGGTATATTCTCAGGAGTGGTTTAGCTAGTTGTATTTAGTTCTCCTTTTATTTTTTTCTGACTCCTCATCAAAAGTGATTGTCCTGTCCTTGTTAAGCATTTTTTTTTGGGGGGGGGGCCAGGGTAAGGATACATCTTATCTTTAGAACTGAGATGAAAAGAAACTTCAAGAGAGGAAATCAGCATACAGCATATGCTCCACAAAGCAAAAATGCTGTTACAAGAAGCTTTTTCCACCACCCTGGTCCCAGAGCCACATCAGCCCCAAATAACACACAGAGACACTGTTTTAGATATAAAGCTGGTGGCCTGATACTAGCATTTCTTATTAGCTAGCTCTGTCTTAAATATTAACCCATTTCTATTAATCTAAGTATTTCCATGTGGTCTTATCTTACCAGACAGAGAGGCCGGACCTCTTCTCTCAAGTCTCTACATGTTGAATCTTTGTACTACATCTCCCAGAACCCTCCTTGTCTCCTAGTTCTGCCTATCTTGCCCTTCTATTTGCCAACAGTGCTTTATTCATTAACCAATAAGAGAAACATATTTACAGAATGACATCTCCCATCAAAATGCAGAGGAAGGAAGACAGAAAGTCCAGCCACAGTGAAAATGTGGTGAACTACAAAAATCTCTCCTGAACTGGACTTGGAAATAGCATGAATCAGTGAGTTCCCTTTAAAGTGTACACATGGGCACTGTAGAGATGGCTCAGCTTACTGCTCTTGCAGAAGACCTGAATTCAGTTTCCAGTCCCCACATTGCTGCTCACAACCATCTGTAATTCTAGTTCAGGACATCAGAGGCCCTCTCCTGGCTTCCTCGGGTACCAGGCACACACATGCCACAATACATTCATGGAAGCAAACATCCATGTAAAAATTCTTTTAATTTAAAAATGCACACATGCGCGCACGCATGCATTTGCTTACCTCTTCCTCTCTACACTGCCCACTGGGAAAGCTTCCATAGAATAAGAACTTAGCAAT